ATCCAACTCGTCTCACCGTTGCCTGGCTGGACCACGAGTAGACATCCCCCACGATATTTTGATCATATTCTAACCAACAATCCACACACAGCCATTCTCTTGAATCAAGTATATGCCAACCAGACACACGCAATTCTTGGCACGGTGGCTAATCCGCGCACGAATATCCGCAGAAAGTCGGGTTGGGCATCGGTCTCATTTCTGCCCTCTGTTCCTCGGGATTCCAAAGCAGACTACTTTATGATACAGAGAAGAATAGTGTACATTTTCAACCCAACTTTTATATTCCAACACACCAATAACCCTTGGGATGCAGCAAGTTACCAAAGTTATTCCCTCCACAATGGTATCTCAAAACTCATCCTCTTCAATGTCAACTATCCTCACGACATTTTCATTCCCTGCATCCCATGCCTTTACTCTGTCCGTATAGAATTGAGGTCCATCCCTCTCCCAAAAATGGAATCAGTTTGGTGGACAAAAAATATTAATTTATTCCAAAAGAAGGTGTTATACAACAGGTATATCAACCTAAAACATATCAACTGCAAAGTTTACCAAGTGCGACAAATGTCGTCTAGAGACTGCAAAATTGTGCACCTTTCTCAAAATTTGAACTTTTCCATGGCCGGGTTACCCCACACTTTTGAAGTATCAATGCTGGGTGCTGACACTTATTATAATCCTAAATATAGTTACATGATGCCATACTCGGTCAAGTACAAATCTGTTCAGTTTTTTAATTATAACGCAATACCCTTCCGGGTTGGAGGGCATGGCTGCGTTTTTGCAGCCGTTCAGCCCTCCCGTTTGGGGGGTCCTGTTACTTAGCTGTGTGACTATATGTTTGGTGGTGCAAGTTACAAAGGAGGACATGACTTTTATCCAGGTTACCTTTGATATGATAAACATAGTCGCCATCCTCCTTGGCCAAGGGGACAGTTCAAAAATATGTCGCAACAGAAGGACTATTGCTGAATCAATAGTCGCAGTTTGGCTACTTTGTGGGTGCTATGTTATCATGGGAAATTTGTACACGGGCGAGATATTTTCATATTTGAGTGCCATCAAGCCTCCCCATGTTCCCGAAACATTGTCCCAACTGGTCGACTCGGACATTCCAATAATAACGACCAGCTCCTACTCGGGACGTGGTAGTTCTGGATCTATTTTGACGAGCAATACAATCCCGCAGTACATTAAGTTTTACCAGGATTGGAATAAATCCGTCGAACTACTAGTAAAACTAAAGAGGAGACTCACTTTTGTCCATGCGGTTGGCTCCATTTCAAAGGTGGTCGAATTCTTATCTAGTATTTTGGCCTCAAAATCTCTCGCACATTTCAACACATCCATCGATCCTCATCAAACGTACGCCATTATGGATAATCATCATATCTTTGAACCTACATCCACCCTCTTAAGAATAAATAGCAGTCGGTCAGTATTAATTGGGAAGGATGGCACCCCCTTTATTTCTCTCTGGTGCGACCAACGCCATAGAAACTGGTTGTCTCCACTCCTTGCTAGAAAGCTGGGGGAACTCGACTTCTCCGGCATGGCGGGGAGATGGGACGACCTCCAGAGAGTAACTGATGTGCAATTAATTCTAAAGCAAATTAGGGATCCTGCCTATAAAAGATATGTTAAGGGGTTCCGGTCAAATAGGGAGTCAGCAAAGGAAGTCCCTATTCAACTTAAGGCGGTGAAATCAATTTTCATCTTGTCTTGGTTTCTTTTCCTTCTTGCCCTCACTAGTTTTGGGGTCGAGGTTAGAATTTTGGTGGCCCGTTTTCTTTATAGAAACTATCAAGCAGTTAAAAAGTATTGGGCTGGGATTAAGGTATTTCTGAAAGATAAATTAGCACATATGAATTTTGAAAAGTTTCTAATAATATTGAAATAGTTGCAATTACTTCTGGCATGGATATCTCTTGAAGTTACAGATGAGTCGATTGTGTCACTTTCGAGGAGTGGTTGAGGGTATGGTTCTTGTGAAATCTGCAACAGCAATTAAAATTATGATAAAAACTTGGACAGTTTCTAAAACTTTTAGTGGCCGTTAGAAGTAATTAAAACAATCTGAAGCTCTAAAATGATTTCAATAAATCGGTAGTTCAATTTCCACCTGTATTACTCTGTAAAAATTATTTGTAAAAATTTGTCATATTATCGAGATAAATTAAATGTACTGATTTTTTAAGTAAGGTAAATAACTTAGACAATTTCATTGCTCCAACTTTGTGAACACCCTCTTCCTATGAAGACAACACGGGCATCAACCCGGTTAATTTGCAACATTTACTCCACCGTAAAATACTGTTCAACATGTATTCTGCAAATGTCGCAAAAAATCATGGCAAAAACGTCCCCATCTTCACCCAATTCATACAAAGAGTTTAACTCACTCTTGTCTCGCACTTTTGGGTAGCATCTTAATCATGCAATTAATTGCTGCATTTTTATTATTATTAGAAAATAGAACCTTTAATCTTTTTGCAATTCCTCTCTCGCTTTGTGAGTGGAAGCAACATTGTGTGGTGTATTAAATATAATAGCCACAGCTTTTCGTTTGTTATTCAACTCACTAAAACCAGTTTTTCTGCTAATACTTACATGCAGGTACTCTTCACGCTGCGTTATCTGAAACGTGCTTTTGTAAACGTATAATAATATCTCTTCTTCTTCACGATGCGTTATTGCATTTATATTGCAATCATGCACTTTCTTATGAATGTACATTATTAAGTAGCGCAAGCTACTTAATAATAGCGATCGGTTAGTTTGTCCGTCCGTCTGTCTGTCTGTCTGTCAACACTAAAACTCGAGAATGGTTTGTCGCAGCGACTTGAAATTTTCAAATGTTCTCCACGGATGTGGGGTGACACCCTATTAAGGGGGTGTGGCCACTTTATCGACATCATGTCGAAAAACGTCGCCAAGCCATAATTTCGGCATTTTTTGGGGGATTTGCATGAAATTTGGGCAAAACATGTTTTTCGGTGTTGCCGACATGTAGCAATATGGCGACTAAGGTTTTGACGACAAATTTTGTCGCCATGCCCTAATTTCGACATTTTGCGGTCGATATGCATGAAATTTGAGCCAAGCCTCCTTACGGTCACATTCTGAATGACATTTTTTCACGCTAAGTGTGAGTGGCCACTCACACTCAGCGATTTTCATATTCTTAATGAAAATAATCTCCACTCACGTGAGTGGAGCTTTGGAAAAAAGTGAGTGACCTTTTGGTCGTGGAGATGAGTTCAACTTACAATGCGATGGTGTGAAGTGCAACTCTCCGAATTGGCTCAAATTTTGGAATTATGTAGTCCAAGTCAATACAACTAACGTTTCTTGAGGCAGTTTCTGCGATGGTTCGAATTCGACAAAATATTTGAGGTCAAAGTTGAAAAACCGGCGATATATAAGAGATTGTAGTGGCTAACAAGAAACCTAAAATGCACGCCCCCAAGAGGGTGTGGCCATCCACAAACCTTTAACTTAAGTCAACCCAGGTATCTGCAAAATCATTAAACCTTTGTTGGAAATACAATTTTACTCTGATTTTCATGATTTCTTTGATGCCACTTAGGAAGTGAAGTTGTGTACTATCAACTCACGGATCTCGATGGCCTTTGGACTTGTTACAGTGTTACATGAATAAACAACAACCCTGAAGTGGTTTGATTCCATGGACACATTTGCGCCCGCCACACTCACTCAAAGGTGCCCAAAAACGCTTACACCCCAGTTTTAACTCACTCATATCCACACCAAAATTCCAACTTTACTCTTATTTTGAAATTACTACTGAAATTTCTTAATTTACCTAACCTCACCATTAAACTCCCAGATAGTTGCTTTCGTATATCCAACATCAAACCTAACTTTTGGAACTTTTAAGTGTTTAAAAAAATTAAAATTCCAAGTGAGCATTGTTGCGGTAATTAACAGCGCAGATTATGACTTCGAAATAATCATTGAATAAGGTTTTGGAATTGTTCATCTGAATCGCCTGATGAGCCTAAAAAGAATGATATGTCGCATGCTTGGGTTTACCTTGATTAAAAAAGTCGTTTATGTCCACACCCCCATGGGGTGTGCCAAGTAACCATTGAATGCTCATCAGATAGCCCCTGTTCTAGTTTGTTTTTATGCACCAAGAACTATTTTGTGGGCCTTCAAATTCCGCTCAAATTTATTTTTGGCCAGAATTTGTTAAACCTGGCCCACTGTGCAGCAGTGTGATTGTGGCTGTAGGCTACAATGATTGTAGTACAATCACAATCACAGTTACAGTACGATGGATTTTTACCTGTCTATTGAGGGGACGGATGAGAATAAAGGTGACTCATAGCAAATTAATTAATTCATTACCTTTCCTACAGTCTAAAAAATTACATTAATGTTAAGATTCCCCTATTGGATGCTAAAAATTTGGAGCAACGAGGGCATTTGCTATCTTGTATTGTTGCCACAGTTCTTTTACTTTTATTTTGCGTACTTTTATAACGCAAAGTACGTATGTACTCATATCATTAGTAACTTATTAAGTATATCTGGCCAATATTACGCTATTTTTTTGCGTGGCACATGCACAGTTGACGATAGGCAGAATATGTATAAGTATAGCGTAAAAGCAAGGCCTATTCATCACTCGTTAGTTGATTGCAATATAGGAAATTACATACTTTATCGTGGGTCGCAATCAGCACGAAAAAATTATTTAAATTTCCAACAGTATCCATTGTACTCGATATCGATGGAGAAGATTAAACTATACAATTCTAGGTATGGTTGATTGCAAAAAAGAAATGGAAATAATGAATTTCCTGCCTCGTGCACATAAATAGCACAAATTGTAATGGTCTGTCGAATTCTTTAAAGGAGAACTAAATTTGCATGTTAAGGGATTATAATTGTTCAATGAATTAAATATTCAAAGCAAATTGACATGAACATACTTAGCTCACGTCATATATAAAGTTTTGAGCATAAATGTCATTCAATATTGGTTAGCAGCTCATTTGGTTCTCCGTAAACTTGACAACATGAAGTTTGTATCAAGCTTGCTCGCATTTGGTTTGGCAGTTGCCCTACTATTTTGCACTGCCTACTCGTAAGTAATAATTTTGAAACATTCACAATATAAACTTCCTCATAAGGCGCTATTTGTAAATTATGTAAGGCAAGAGGTGGGGATTTAGCGCGTGAGGTACGTTCCACCCCAATTTGAGATAAATACATGTTAAGAGTCGGCGTACCAACCAGAGGTCGACGCCGCCGATCTCACGCCGCCGCGCCGCCGAACGCCGGTAGTATTTTGGGCGCCGCCGCTTGATTTCCTATTCCTTCAACATTGGGACGCCGCGCCGCGCCGCCGCGCCGCCGAAAAATCCCCGAAAATTGGCGCCGCCGCCGCCGAAAATTTGTCGGCGTCGACCTCTGGTACCAACAGCACAAGGGGTGATGGGGGGTCTGAAAAAATCCATTTGTTTTGCTTTACATAATTTATGGCGCCTATTTTGATACCATCATTTTTTACCCAGTGCACTCACCCATAGCCAAGCGGTAAACCGACTAAAGTTATCTGGAGTAAAGGTCGATTCGAAGTGCAGTGACAGAAATAACCCAGAATGTACGAGCCTTGCTGGAGTTAAGGTTACTACAATTAATGGACTGCAAAAACTTAAGCGACAATCGTCTTGCCCTATTGTCGTAGTAGGTGGAACTGAGGTGTGCCATCACAACCAGTGTTGTCTCAAGCAAAAAAATGCAATTTTGCTTGATTGCCTTTAACTTGCTTTAAGGATGTTTTTTTTCTGTATTGAAATTAATGCCTTTTTGCCTTCTTGCTACATAATTACAACATAACAGTTATAATGTAGATACGCTTCTAGGTAGCGCCAAGTAAAGAGCTAAAAAACACAAGTAAAAAGCAAGTCTACATTACGGCCCTTTTGCGTTTTATCGATCACGGCTCAAAATTGTAAGGAGTTGTCAGAAATGAAAAAACATAATTTAAGTATATTTATAATCTAATTAGACCGGACATGTCAACCGAACTAAAAAAGCGCACTGGAACGGATATAAGGCCGACATCAAGCCAAACAAATGCATAAACTCGTACATTCGAAAAAAATTTAAGGCAATTGGGAATCGAAGTGATGATGGGGCTCCACAGTTTCGCTCCCCTGCTAAAAACATTTATGCCGGCGAGTCAGACAAGTGGGATATTTTGTATGTTTAACAGATTTCAATTTCCCAGTGTATATGTAACTCAATAAATTATTGAATCTGTGTCGAGCATATTTATTTTACTGTGCACAGTTTTATTTTATTTTTCATAACAGTTCAAAAAACAAGTTGGCATTTACACTGCACTAGCAGTTTTTATAGTCTTTGTTAAAAAATGATGGACTTTGTAATGATTGGCCAGATTTTATAAGTCGCCCAAGATATAAAATCCATAAATTTTGAATGGATTTTGTTGATCATCTTGAAGTTAACGCTGGTTATGGATGACCCGGCATGTACAGTATTATACTTTCTTTTGGGTACGAAATAAACAAATACGTGTAATTTAAAATTTACCAACCCAACCAAAATATAGGTAGATGGCAAAAATTGAAAAATTAATCAACTCCATTGCAAAATGTGGAAAACTTAAAGTGAACTTTTCCAAAATAACTTTTAAACTATTTCTATGTATGCATATCATCGTCAAGCACAAAAGTGTAATCTTCGAGTTTTTTTATAACCTTTTTGTCAATTTTGAGTTTTGCAATTCTACAATAAATAATTCGCTAACAGCTTTTCAAGTGATTTTATTGGGCAACATAGAGGTTAATTAGTAAAAATTATATTAATTATCTCAGAATTCTTTAATATTTTCCCCCTTTAATATACATCACTTTAGCTCTTATCACACATACAGAATAATAACTATATATTTTAACAAATTATGTGACATAAATATCTGCCCTATAATTTTATAGAATACTGGTCCTTCAAGAGAGAAAAATTGTGTTAAGTTAAATGGTATAAATAGCGTAGAAAAGAAGCAGGAAATTAACCAAAATCGGATAAACAATTTGCTGAATCATAAAAACCCATCAACATTTTGGGCTGCGATGCGAGAATTATGAAGTGAAGTATTGTAACGATATGTAATAACATAGTTCAATAATCTTTTCCTCAACAGAATCTTAATTTTGCTCAATAGTCGAATAAACCGTTGTAACGTTAGAAGTAGCTCACCCTGTAATAATGATTTTAGCATAATTTTGCACCAATGGTGCAGAATTGGCAGATAAAATAGATACGCAATTTTGGCATAATTTTGCATTAATGGAGCAGAATGGGCGGACAGAAGATACACATAATTGTGATATAATTTTCCATCAATGGTCGAAAATAGACGAGGAAAATGCATCCATAATTTTGACATAAAATCGCTACAAATTCGAAGTAAAAATTCTAGTTATTTTTTTCGGTTCATATGCACGTTTGGTGTGTTTTGCATCTATTTTCCCAATTGTTTGGCACCATTTTGTGTTGCCGACTGTTCGAGACCAATGGTGCTACTAATTTGCTAAAATTTGCACCCGGGGCAAATTAATTAGCATCAATTGATGCAAACAACTCGTTAACAGACAGACAGACAGACGGACAGACAGACAGACAGACGGACAGGAGGAATTCAATAGCTCCTCTGCTACGCAGGGTGAGCTAATAAGGCATGGTATTCCATATTATTGGGATACAGTACTTAGGTTCCAATAAGTTCGGAATTTTGTCGGAGTACTTGTAATTTCTACCTCTTGTGGGTCTTGAGCCTGGATTGGGTTTTAGTAATTGTTTGGTCTATAATCGATTCGAATTTTTAGCCCGAACCAGGGGCTTATGTACCCGTGATGTCCGTCTATCTGTCTGTGTTGCGATAACTCTAGAACGCCTTGACCGATTTTCATCAAATTTGGTGGAAATACATATGCATATTGGGTATGCGACGTGCTGTATAGTCTTTGGGGTCGATCAAAAAAGGTTTGGACCGGTGGGGGTCATATTAGTGGTGTGGATTTTTAAAACCAATGGGAGGACCCTTTGGTTTTTGGCGTTTGATGCAGAATATTTGAAATTTTAGCAGAAACCTCGGAAAATTAAATTAAAACTGAAAAATGTTCAAATGATGAGACCGGGTTGGGTGACCCACACCGATTTTGAAATATTGTTATAGAAGGCTGAAATTCGGCAAGATAACTCCTATAATGATATAAACTCGAAAAATGAAAAGTCAAAACTTCTGAATTTTTTTAGTGATGGGACCCTATTGAATGACCCATACCGATTTTCGATGGTCGTGTTAAAAGGCTGAAATTTGGCATAGAGGTCTCTGATGGTCTCCAATGAAAGATTAGTGAAAATGCTTGGTTAGGGCTATGCAAAGCTGTACTGAGGAGGGGAGCTTCCGAGGTTGATAATAACAGATCGGCTTGAAATTTTTACCAATAATAGTTTGAATTGTCCGTTCTTTTAGAACGGATCAATATTTTTAAATCAGCTTTCGGGCATTGCAGTCTGATTTTTTGAGGGTGCATAAGTTCGATCACGGGGTCAATCGGACCACCCCCCTTTGCGCCAGGGGGTGTGGTCAAATAGTTTTTTTGATCATTGTTTTCTTTTCACATGGATTGTACCCCATGGCAGATTGAATCATAAAAACCATTACGTGATCTAGTTTCCACACCCCCTCCGATCAAGGGATGTGGTTATATCGAAAAAAGTAAAATCATGACAAATTTTGAACTGACTGCACAATGAGATTTTTATTGAAATTCAATCTATGCGTAAAATAAAGTAAAATTAATGAAATCAAATTTGAAACAAACTGATACGACGCGTATAACCATCTCAATTAATTGACTTCAATTAAAATTAATCAAACTTCACATAAATTATTATTTTTCGTTGCATAGCACACATAACTTTCATGATTGGATTAAGGGTCCGTGCACAAAAAAAGTCATGATTTAAGACGATTTGATCACTAATATTTAGTCCTCATCCACATATTCATAGTCCTCTTAGTCAATTTGAACGATATAAAGAATGGGTTGAAATGTTAGAACTACCTGGAAGAAATATTTATATATAGCATCCTCATTTTTTGGAATTGGAAATGCTTGACACATATTTACCATCAACTAATCACCTTCACAATCTAATTTTTAGGTTAAGATTCCATGCCTCCTTCATCAACTAATTTAATTTTCTTTTTCAGATTGGTGACCAATTTTTTCCCCTCGGTTTCTCTACTTCCAGACTGATTTTCTACGACTTCCCTTTGAATTTTAGAAAGGTATCCGGCTTATCTAGATGCTTTGCATATTTGAATTTACATAGTGCCCAAAATTTAGGGAAAACCTCACTTTCGACGATCACACGTTGACTTTTCTCTGTCAGATATTATTTTCAATAATACATACAATCTAAAACTAAATCCTAAGTGTAACTTCCGGGATTTGGCAATCATCCCTCCACATGTACATATAAACCTACTTCAGAGGTCGACGCCGACAAATTTTCGGCGGCGGCGGCGCCAATTTCCGGGGATTTTTCGGCGGCGCGGCGGCGCGGCGCGGCGTCCAAATGTTGAAGGAATATGAATCAAATTTTTCGGCGGCGGCGGCGCCTAAATTACTACCGGCGTTCGGCGGCGCGGCGGCGTGAGATCGGCGGCGTCGACCTCTGACCTACTTATTAATAAGATTGCTTTGAAACCTGTACATGTCTGTGTTACGGGATTGGAATTATTCAGTGGGTGAAATGTAATTATAAAGAATTTCTAAAGTCGTGTACCTATGAATTAAACACACCTAAATGTGTCTAAAGAAAATTATACGTTTAGGCAGGGCTGTTGTACTTAATTACTTTGGTACTTAACCCAACGGGCAAAGGCATAGGAATTCCCTACGATTTCGAGATAAAAAAGCCTCTCGATTCTAAGCGAGGGTAGCTCGAAAAGATCTCGAATTTACAGTTAAATGTCCAGCGAGACCTAAGGAAATCCTCTCGATTATTCGGAGATATTGGCGACACGATTTCCAGCATTAATCGACGAGATTTCGTATTTGCCTGAATATCGAATTCCTCTCGAATTTTATGCGATTTCATTGGGATTAAAAAAGTAGCATACAAAATACATTGCATTGTTTGTGTCTTAATTTATTTTACAACAAATAACTACCAATACAATTTGTATCAAAAAATTAATAAGTTAATGATATAATTTATAATTTTATCTTCACTCAGGATTGCCAGGTTGAGCAGCTACATTTCTAAATAATAATAAAATAGTCCATACATTATACAACGATTCAATTTGATATATATTCATAGAAATATATATATTAATTTAATGTTTCTGTACTTACCTCCTTTGTCTAACTCGATCATGGGCTTGCTTCAAAACAGTCGGAAGCACTTCATAATACTTAATCAAGGTTGCTTCTCCAGATGTCCGTGGATTTCTCATCAGTGCATCTAATAATTAATTAAGCAATTCACATAATTAGACGCGCTCATAATTAGCTTTAAATGACCCCGCTCGATAAAAAATTCATACGAAAGGGTCTGATTAATGAACTCAAACCATAATACGATATTTTTATTTTCACTTACCAAAAATCGAATTCACAAGAAGAGCATGATCGGCCAGCGACAATTTTCCCCGCTTCCCTTTGTGACTATAGAGTGAACAAAGTTCATCCGTCATTAAAAAGGACATCATCCCTTTAACGGCTTCTAACAAAGTTGCACCCCCGCAATCTTTCAGCTTACGAATCTATAAAATATACAGCAATTAAAACATCTTTAAACAAAAACATATTCATGGTCTAATTACATACCAATGCATTTTTGGCAGCCTCATCATTTTTTAATTGCTCATCCAGTGACGAAAGAGCTGCAGAATCCCGAAGTGGAAATAATCCGAAAGGAAAGGAGAAAGTTTGCTGACTGGAAGCGAGCGGTTGATTATACTGATTATTCTTTAAAATCTGCACAATTTCATCCAGTTGATCTTGTTGGCGATCGAGTACAATAGTTATTCTTTCTATTTTCTTTAGAATTTCAGGGAGTAATCCTAAAAATTATTGTTTTGTTTTTAAATTAATTAATGTTAAAATATTGCATTTGTGAATAAATGATCTGCATTCACAAATAAATATAAAAATAATCCCTTTATTATCTTGTGTACCTTGATCGCCAACGGTTCTATTCATTTCTTCTACCCTTTGCGGGGGAGCCT